CTGGGGACCAGGCCAGTACATAGGGAGGGCCTGGCTCCCCCCCCAGAGGTCCCACCCATCCCAGCTCTCCTGGCTGCTGGGAGCCTGCGCCTCTTTTTGGAGCAGAGCCCCAAGGAGGGAGCGGCTTGCCTTGCCAGATGGGAGCATCTTTGCTTCCGGTGGGTCCCTCCATCCAAGAGCAAGCATGGCCTTTAAGCACATTTTTGCTTTGATGTGTTCAAGATACAGTCAACAGCAAATGCCTGTGGGTTCTTTGGCAGCCGGTAAAAAATGTATCACTGTGTCCGGAAGTGGCAGTTTAGATCAGATCGCTGCGTGACTGGCTCACTGGAGGAGTGAAAAGACTCACAGAAAGTGTGTGCAAGTCCACGCCCCTAGGCAGTTTGCTTGTACTGTATTATCCAGGACCGTAAGTTCAGTCCCACGTTCAACCATTGTCATAGGAGGAACTGGGTCAAGATGTAGAACCAAGTTTGAGTGCTTGCCTCCTCCTTCTGCCCCCTAACACGACACAAAAGATGGTAACCTACAGATAAGATAGTGGTACAATTTGTTCAGAAACCATGATGCTTGGGACAGTGAATGGAGGATACTGCTGATAATTAGGCTGGTACGTAGCTGAGGCCTGTGGCCATCTACCTATAAGGTTTTTTTAAAAAATTAATTTTTAAAGATTTTATTTATTCAAAGAGAGAGCGAGAGCAGGGGAGGGACAGAGGGAGAGGGAGAGAGAAACTCCAGCAGACTTTGTGCCTAGTACAGAGCTGGACACAGGGCTTGATCCACGACTCTGAGATCATGGCTTGAGCCGAAACCAAGAGTCAGATGCCCAACGGACTGAGCCACTCAGGTGCCCCCCTCCAACTATAACTTATATTCAAAGTTCACACAAGAAGGCTGGTGCCCTTGATATTAGAATCCTTGCAAACTTTCCGGTGGAAATAGAATGTTTGCTTTGTTAAGTGTGCATTAGTTATCTAATGCTGTGTAAAAATTACCCCCCAGATCAGTGGCTCAAAACAATAAATATCATTTCATGCAGTTTCTGTGGGTGAGGAATTAGGGAGCAGCCTTGCTGGGTGGGTTGGCCATTGGGTCTCTTCCTGGGGCTGACAAACCTTGACTGGGTGGGAAGCTCTGCTTCCAAGATGGCTCACTCCCATGGCCGATGGCAGCAGACCTCCACGTCCCACCTCCGCCCGCCCCCATTAGACTGCTGGAGCGTCCTCACGGCAGCTGGTTTTCTTCAAAGTGAGTGACCTGAGTCACTCCTGCCTTTCGTGATTTAGTCTCAGAGCTCACTCACGGTGACTTTGGCCATATTTTATTCATTAGAATGAGCCTCCCAGCCCAGCCCACACGAAAAGAGAAGATTAAGCTTTATTTCTTGAATGAAGGAGGATCTTCAAATATTTGGTCCTTCTTGTAAGTTCGTGTTTGTTTTGAGATGCCCAGTTTGCCTTTTTCTCAGTACTGCCGGTTTATTCAGCTTGCCCCGGTGATGGTGGGGAAGGACAGGCAAGTACAGCCAGTGGGGTTATCTCTGTGACTGGCATTCTGGCTGTGGGGTGGCTCTCCGTTCCTCCTGGGTATTGTCAGTCCCTTGGGACACTTAAGAATGGGCTCTCTTGAGTAATGAGTTTCCCATCACAGTAGGCATACAAGGAGATATGGGATGGTCAGTTGATAGGGAGCCACAGGTGAGTATAGACGGGGTTGAAGGGAGATGGTCTAAATGATCTTCATGTCCCTTCTGACCCGGAGCACCCATGAGCCCCTGATTCCCCCAAAGCATTCTTCTTCTTTGGGTGCCCTTGAAGTGAGTACTGAGAAACCTCATGAAGTGAGGCACGGATTCTGGAAGTGAGATCTGTGAAAAGAAAATGGAATCCGTGTTATCCAGGACTGAGCGGGTCATGAGTTTCAAGCCTCCCAGAGATGGAATTAAAAAGATTTCCAAGAATCTTCATCATGGGGCGTGCGACTGTCTTTGTTGACTTTTGCAGCGAGCCTTGGGAACTGTGCTTGGAGAGAGAAAAGCTGTTCCATGAGCCTGTGTCTGAAGGTCCGGCAAGGGTCGAGCCGCAGGGAGGCTGACCCATTCCAGAAGTCAGCAGCGGCTACCTGTAAGATCCCAACTCAGGAAAATCTGCTTCCATTTCTCATCGGCTTGTCCTCAAAGTGGCTTGATGGAAATGCGACCTGGGCTGAGCAGTGAGTGCCCTGCTCATGAATGCCCAGGCTGTTCAGCAAAAATAGCCCACAGGAAACGGTATCGCAAAGGTCAATTCTTCTGGAAAGGAAGGGACAACAAGCCATCTATCTGAAATTTTAACGAGCAGATCCTGGCCTCTGACCCCATACCATGACCTAACAATCCAGTATTGAATGCCACGTCGGCTTCCATTTCCTGTGCACGAGGAGGCAGAGCTCCCGTCCAAAGGCCAACCATCTGGCGGATGGAAGATTGTCTCTGCCTGGCTGGCTGTTACGGTTGAGCATGAAGTCTTTATGGACGGAGTGTCAGTCCTGACTCCTTGCCTCACAGCGATGGGGAACTAGACGGTTGAGACACCAGGACGGTGGCTAGGATTTTCTTTCCTGCCTTATTTTTTCTCTCCTGCATTGGCTGTTTTCTTTCATTCAGTCAAAAACAAACCAAGGACAATCTTGAGGTACATTTAATCCTTTGGAAAGAGCCTTGCAGCTTTCAGGTTAAAAAACAAACGAACAAAAAAACTGGACTTCCACAGTCAAAAGTAATAGCTGAATATAGAAGAGCAAAAAGAAATGGATCATCAGAAGAGAAAGTAGGGAAAGCCCCCAGCCCAGCGTGCAGCACATATGAGGTCCATTATGAGTAAAAAATTTGCCTCGTCAGAAAGATTCAAGAGGCCAGCAGCTAGACTCATCTCCAAACTAGTCTGTCCCACTGAGTTCAAAGGAAACAATTTTTTAATTCCTCTGCACAGTGTTGCTGAACGCTCTGGGAACCAAAGTATCAGAACCCCTTGAGTACTTGTTGAGACTCCCCAGACCTTCCTAATAATAATGTCCGATGCAAATACCAGGGGATTTGAATTCTTAACAAATGGTTGGGAATCCCGTGGGTTGGGGGCGGGGCACTGTATTAGCTTATTTAATGGTCTCTGCCATCTGGGAGGTTTGTCTTTTACTTTCACTTAACAGATGCTGAACCTGAAGCTTAGAAGTCAAGCGTTAAAGACACAGGCTGCGTTTGCTAAGATCTGGTGTGGGCTCTGACCTGCTCCTCTGCCCTGTGACCATGGGGAAGCCTCTTAACCTTTAGACACTGGTTTCCTCATCTGTATATTCAGGATTTTAAATGGAAATAATGCACTGGCTACATTACTTTAGCACAATACTGCGATCCTATGAAGTCCCGTAGCAAATAATGTGGTAGGTAACTAGCAACCCGGTGATTATTAAGTAGGTTCAGTAACCAATCACCCTGTTCAATAGGCCCGATTTACCAGTTTGTCCTACAAGACAGGAAAGACTTTGAAGGCAAAAGGCTCTTCTCTTTCGTTTGGTTTCCCAAGGCCCTAACACAGCGTTGCTAATTGTTGATTGAGGGAATGAATGAAGGAATGGAGAAAGGCCATGCAGAGGGGTAAGGGGTACACAGGGCCGAATTTAAACTGGGGCTCACACCCAGACCTTGTTTCTGGATGGAGTGTTGGGGTGCGCTGGCCCAGAGAAGGTGGGGCCTTTGGCCAGTGCCTCTGGCTTTCAGGGTTTTGTTTTGTTTTTAAACACCTGTACTTCTGTGAGAGGGTTGCTGTGGTTCTTGAGAAGTTTGCAAAACCCTGGGAGGGGGTGGAAGATAGAAAAGGTACTTTCCTGGACGTAGCAAAAGACGGTAATGGGAGTTTCCTCAAACACTGGCTAACTGGCCCGTGGAATGCGGGCTGTGTCAGGAATTGGTGAGAAGTCACAGGACAGAATTCCGTGTTTGGTGGGTGTTGGCCGCCGTCCTTAATACACCCCGCTCCTTCAGTGACCGTAGCTGCGTCGCTGTCGATCCCCAGGGTCTTGGAGAGGGCGACAAGTCGTGTTATCAAAACGGACATCATGGCTCTGCCAGGCTCTCTGGCGGGAAGGGCGGAGGCCGCCAAGAACTAGGACTCAACTAAGGCAAGGCCCGCGGAGTCTCCAGCCACAGGCGGGGAAGGGCGCCCGGGGAACCTGTATTTCCAACAGACGCACTCAGATGCTTCTCATGACCGGGAAAGTTGGGGAAACGACGCGGTTCTCTCCGGGGTCCCATGCCTTACGTACGTAGGGAAAGAAACGCGAGCCAACCTCGCAAGGTACACCCCAGAGCAGCACATCAAACATGTCCTGCCCAGACGTCGTCGCGTGCCTGCGAGTCCAGGCTTCTCCGTCAGGCCCGAGGTGTCTGTGTGGCGGCGGAGGGCACAGGCCCGGGGACGCGCGCCCGGGCGCTGGACCGCCTTCCAGACCTGCTACCCGCGTTGCGCGGGCTCCGGGCGAGCCGGGGAGCGAGCAGCCGAGTCATCATTTCCAGCCTCAGCCTGGAAAGCTGGACCGTGCAGCCGCGTGTGCTCTTGGCAGCCGGACGCCCGGGGCCCCGCGGCCACATCATCCCGGGGCGGGGATGTGTGCGCTCCGGGCGCCCGCGCCGCCACCGAGCCACGTCTGTGCCGCCGGGGCGCGCGGCCCGCGAGGCGCCCGGCACCGAGCCGCCCCCCTCACCCCTACGCCCCTCACCCCACCACCCCCGGGAGTGGGCGAGCGCCGGCTCTGGGCGGGACCCTGGCGGGGGGCCCCCGAGCGGTCTCTAGGACCCGCGGGACGCCGCCGGCGGGCGGGGGTGCGGGGGAGACGCTAATTTGTTCCGTGGTAATGAGAACGGTGACTGCTGGCCGTGGATCCATTTCACAGGCCCGCCTTCGCTCACTAACGATCTCCCTCGCCCCCGGGCCAACTCGGACAGTTCGCTCTTTGACTGCAACGGTCAAGGCTGGCTCGTGCCAGCGCCGCGCGCGCGCGCACACACGCACACACCGGGGGAAACTTTTTCAAAAAAATGAAAGCCTAGACTCGCTCCTCGGAGGCGCGGGCGCTGCGCGAGGGCTCCGGGGCGGACTCCCCGCGGCAGGAAGTCCCTCGGGTCGCGCCGCCCGGCCCCCGCTCGGCGCCCGCGTGGGATGGTGCAGCGCTCGCCTCCCGGCCCCGAGAGCTGCTGCACCGAAGGCCGCCGACCATGGCAGCGCGCCCGCCGCCCGCGCCCCCCGCCCGCGCCCTCCTGCTCGCCCTGGCCGGGGCTCTGCTGTCGCCCCCCGCGGCCCGAGGTAAGTCGCCGAGCCCCCGCAGCTCCCCCGCCGGACCCTGGCCCTCCTCTCCCGCCCGCCGCCCGGGGCCGTCCGCGGGCTGGGGGTCGTCCCCCGGGGGCACCTCGCGCCTCAGGGGGCAGTGCGGGGGGACGCCGAGCGGCGGGGCGGCGCGCGGGGTCCACCTAGGGGAGACCCTCCTCCCTAAGGTGCTCATTCCCCCGGGTGTGGGGAGGAGAGGAGGGAACGCTTGGCTCGGGGCCCGCAAGACGCCGGCGCGTAGCCCGGACGGCACAGCCTCGGGTCCCCTCCCCTTTCGGGTGTCCTTCGCCAAGGTGTCCAAGTCTTGACAGTTACACGTGTGCGTCGGGTCCTCTTCCTGACACCCCCCTTAGTGAATCCACTCCCCACTTCCCCAGTCCTGGGGCAGCCCTCCATGAAGTTTCCTTTCCACCCCGCCTCCCCCACGGACTTGAAGGAGGCCCCGTAACCACACAGGTGAGCCGTCCGCTCCTGCACAGGTGCGCCTGCTGCGTTCCCCAGCGGTCTCCATTTTTTGAAAAATTGACTCTTCACCCACTTTTTTTTTCCCCCATTCGGGATCGCTCCCTCGTTGTGTGTGGCGGCCAAGCTTGAGCAGAATTTTTCCGCCTCCCGCAACTTCGTCGTTTCTCGGCTATAAATAATCCTTAAATCAACCTGTGTAAAGTGACAACTCATTTCAAAGTTAAACTGAAATGTAGGTATTATAGCTGTTTCGTGGATCTAGATTTCCTCGAGTCGTATCCCCTTCAAATTGGGCACCTGTGGAGCTTTTGTTTTTTGCATAATGAGGACTCACCCAGCAGGTGCCTTTTTAAAAATTCAGAAGCTTCCCCAGGACGCCGTCAACGCGGTCTTTCCGCCGCTAGAGGCGCTGTCAGCCTACCAATGAATGGCTTGCCTCGGCCTCCAACTCTCAATTTCTATGGTTCTCTGTAACAGGCATTTATTTTTCAACAACTGGCCTCAATCATGAGCCGTTACCACTTTATGGTACGTTTTATTTTGCAATTGCCACTGCTACCCTCCACCCCCACCATGTCTACTGTAATGTGGCTAAAACCCAGCTCTCGTTAAAATCCACACAGCAATGAAGACCAATTGGGGAATTAATGATTAAATAAAAGCATTGCACAAAGCAGTGAAAAACAACGGGGAAGCCAAGAAAGAATACTGCTGACTGTTGAAAGACCTGCGTTGATAGTAGTCAAAAAAATAGTAGTCAATAGTGTTTTTGAAAGACTTTTGTACAAATTGGTCTTTTTGAATGTTTATTGAGAAGGAACTTTTTAAAACCCAAACAATCTCAAAGTGTGCCTGAGGTGGTCCTTAACTTGGTATATGCTCTATACGCATAGAAGTCCATTGAGCATGGAGAATATTCTTTGTTTTATAAGAAAACGTTTAGTAAATCAAGTTAATGGAAATTATTCTTGGAGTAGGGGACTTTTGGTGGAAAGAGATTTTCCTAGGGGTAGATCTGGCTCCAACAGAAAACCAGTTAGACCTAAACATTTTGTATGGGGATAGGTTGTGATATCCCAGCATTCACAGCTTGTTTATCTTTGGATTCTCAGTCTCAATTCTTAAATCAGTGCCCCAAATCATAGCATTGAGGTTGCTTAAAAATCCAAGCATATGAAAAAACGTGTCTTTGTGTTGGCAAGAGAAAAGGAGGAATTAATACTTGTTGAAGGCAGAGTATATCATGGGGTTTTCTCCCTGTGTTTTACCCCTCTGACCCAAAATGGTTGCCTACTTGGTACCTAACAAGTCCAAAACAGCACCCTAGACACCAACCCCTCTACTCTTCAATCCCTTTCTCCTCCAGTCTTCCCAACTCAGTAATAACACCCTCTGTCTCTCCAGATGTCTCATGCTAACACATAGAAAGTCATCCCTTTCTCTCTAAACACCACCAACCTCCAAGATGTATTCCCGTCTGCCCTCTTCCCACCATTTCGAAGTATGCCTTCTCCAACCTAGCCCTCCTTTTTTTATTTTTCTCTCTTCCATAGAAGCTTGATATCCCTGCTAGAGTAGCTTCCTAACCGGTCTGCTGGCTCTCCCCCCTGCCCTTGCACACTGTATTCTTCCCAATCCTACAGCCAAAGTCATCATTTTCAATCATGAGTTGGATCATGCTGGTTTCCTGTTTAAAACTCTCCAGTGGCTCTTAGGAAAGAAAATTCAAACTTCTGGATAACTTAATCCCTGTTTTCTTCTATGATCTCCTTTCTTACCATTCCCCCACTTGTTCATTCTACTTCAGCCACACTGGCCTCTCTTCTCTCCAACTTTCCAGTATAGTGTTGCCATAATTTAAAAAAAAACAAAATTCAATGTTTACACTATAAAGACTTTGCAAATATTGTTCACAGTCGAGCCACACAGTTTTCTATGATTCCATTTCATACCTCTTGCAACTTTTTGTTTTTCCTAGAGTTAATAATTGCCTTTTTTTTTAAAAGGACTTTCCCCCCCGCCCCACCCTTTATTTCCTGTGTACCAATCTCTACCTTCTAGACTTTCTGGGAGAACTATTAAATTCCTTTCAACATGATCAAACACATCAGGTAATCTATCCATTATTTATTTATATTTAGTGTTCTCTCTCCTGGAGCCCGTTATCCTTTTGTTCCAATATAAACTACTTACTTTTTAGGATACAGTAACAGCTGTGGTCTCAAGACTACCCTTATTACTAAGATACTTGCAATTCATTTTGCATCCTTCCTCTCTGGGATCACCTGTTTTCTGAGCACTGTAACTTTCTCTTTCTTACTTTAGTTCCTTATTTTTGTGGAGCACATTTTTAGTAACTTCCTGAGGAAGGGTGCATGGGAGGTAAAACCACTTGATAATTTGCTAGGAATATTCAGCAGCAAATAATAGAAAACCTGACTATAGGATTTTTTTTTTTTCTTTATCTTTATATGACCTGCAGTTGTGAAGTAAGCCATGTAGTAGCTGGTGTAGTGGGTCCATGAGACTATCAGGGACCCAGGATTTTACTTTTGTTTGTAACTGGTATCTTTACATGTTGGCTTTTGCCTTTATGTTTCTGGCCTCTGGTCTCATGACAGCTGCTCTACCTTTTAGCTTTGTACCTGAATTCTAGGCAGTAATAGGGCAGAAGAGGTGAAGAGCAGAGCCAGCCAAATCTCTTTTAGGAGGAAAATATGATTACTTCCAGAAACCTTTGTAGCAGATTTTCTGTTAATCAGCCTGAGACACAGGGCCGCTGCTAACTGCATGGGAAAATAGAAAAGTGCCTATTTTTAGCTGTGCACATTGGTATTTTAAACAAAACAGATTCTGTAAGAAAGGTCAGAATGTGTGCCTGCCAGACATTGCGTAAAAATCTGGGTATATGTTCCACGCTTGACTGCTAGTTTGTTTAGGTATAAAATCCCAAGGCGGAAGTCCCATTTCTTCATGGTTGGATAAGATATCCCTTTACTGTCTGTGTGCCCCTTGCTGCTTGAGAACTCGATAGCACTCTGTCAGTCCTTTAAATGTAGACTATTTTTTCCCCCATGGAAGCTATTATCATATTTTTACATGTCATGATGATTCACTTTAAGTTCTTATCAGTTATCATGGTGGGAACTCTATGGCCCTTTCAGTTTGAAAATTCGTGCTGTGGAATTCTAGTCCATTTTCTTGTAGTATTTCTTCAGTTATTTCTTCCTTCCTGTTTTTTGTCATGCTTTCTATGGAACTGCTATCAGCTGGATGTCTGTCCCACTTTCCTGGAGACATTCTCTAACCTCCTTATTTATTTTTCATCTCTGCATTTTTGGTCCATTTTCTGGGAGAGTTTAGTTTCATTTTCCAACCTTGCTATTGAGTTATTCATTTCTTCCAGATAGTTAACTTACAGATGTTTTCTGTTCTATGAATGTTCCCTTTCTTTTCTTTTTTTTTTTTTGTACTGTTCTGTTGTTTTTAAATTTTTTGTGTAAAAAAATAAGATATTGAACTCTTAGAGTATATTAATTATTTTTTGAGCATTTTTTGTTCACTTCATGCTCATCATTAGCCTTGAGATTCTTCCCTACTCCTATTTGTTATAATCTCTGAATTTGGTTGTTTATGTTTAATAATGAGACACTAAGAGGCAGATTGAAAGGTCTGTGTGCTTACAAAGTGCCACTCTGTTGTGGGGACCTTCATAATCACTGACTGTATCCTCTTTCTTAGGCTGATCCATTTTTCCAGAGGAGAACTGTGCATCCTCTTGCTGAGGAGATTGAAGCCTGACTAGATGGTCTGTGAGCTGAGCAAAGGGGAAAAGGGTTATAGTGGATGTCTCACTCTGAAGTGTGCTTTGCTTTTTTTTTTTTGTTTGTTTGTTTTGTTTTAATTCATCCTTTTGTTTTTAATTTGGCACCTTGCTTCCCCTCCCTCCCTCAGCTATGCCTGAGGTCCTTGAGCACAGAACTTCTCTGCTTCAGTGTCTCCAGAAAATAACTCTCCTCATCTGTCAGAGAGGAAGGGGTCATCGCCTCACCATGGTGTCTTTGCAAGAGATCTAGGGCTCCTAACTTCTTGGACGATATTTCAGCTCAGCCTGTATTAGCAGTCAGAGGTGCTCATGTCTCCTGTTCCCAAGCACTTTCATGTTCTGCTCACCTATCTCCCCTTCTCGATAGCTTCCCTCCTCTCCAAGCAGCAGGGTTCCAGCCCTTTCTTCTCCACTAAGTAAGGAACCACTCATCTATCCTCCTTCATCTTGGAAAGTTTTGTTGTTCTCCCTGACCTGTTATCTTCTCTCCAATGTATTGTTTTAAAAAATTATTGTTATTATTCCTGTTGTGGGGTTTCAGGAGGGAGTGCAGGTAAATACCTGTGGGTCTGCCATGTCCGTTCAGAAGTCAGCCTGTGCTTCTGGGCTTACCACTCCCTACATAGAGACACACTTTCTTTCTCTTAATTGTCATTTGGCTCTTTCTGTTCCTTCCTTGTGGAAACAA